GGCCCCAACTCAAACATCTCCATCATAATCACTGGGTCCTGTTATTCTGACTTCAGAAGCAGCCCGAGGTGGAGGCTTTCCTGGGCCCACTGGGCCTCCCCAGGCCGCGCAGGCTAAGCTTTGTTTACACACCTGTCTCCCTGGTAGATGGGGACTTCTGTGAGCAGGGCTGCTAGTCCTCGGACTCCCAACAGTTAGTACACTGTCTGACACACAGGCTTCCAAAAATTAGATGTTTGTTGAACAAATGAAAGAACAAGCTGGAGGAGGTTGGAGGGGTGGGGTGGGGTGGGGGTGGGTTGGGAAATGAGATACTTAAGGTGCGTCAGAAGGTAGGAACCAAAGGCAAATGCAAAAATTATGCAGCATTCTTTCTTGCCTTTATAAAACTGTTTCAGGAATAAAATTAAGCAGGTGGGGGAAATGTGCTGCGGCACAGATAGAAATACGGGAGGAGTTTTTGATGAAATCATTTCTAGCTTTTTCCCTCCAATATAAAACCTGCAGTCTACGAGGAGCAGTAATAGGGCCAAGGTTACCTCAGGGGTCAGTGACCCAGCCGGGTGGAGTTTAAACACAGCTCTTAATGGGGGGGGGCGGGGGGTGAGTTGGTTATAAAGTGGGTGGGGAAGATAAGATGACTAGAGAAGGGGCAGCGATGCCCCAAAGGGAGGGGCCCGGTGGAAGCTGGAGGGTGGGTTTCTGGAATGGCTGGAGTTCCTCAACTCTCTTGGTGGAGACTTCAGTCATTACTTTTGCTTCCAGGGTCTGGGGAAGCATCTGCAGTGAAGGAAATAACACAATTGGGCCAGGAGTGGCCCAAGGAGACTTTGTTTTAAGATTTCAAGCTGTAGGCAAACTCAACCACAACATCCAGGACTGCAAACACTTCTAGGTTAGGTTGAAATAGCAGGACCAAGGTTCAAATGGCAGGAGCCTCCCAGGGGCCTTAAAGCTCTCACCAACTAGCAGGTCTTACTCCTAAGGGTCTGCAGCATCAGGCACTATGTCTTGTACACGGTGTTGGGTTCAGTAAATATCTAATGATTGCTGCCTCGTGTTGGGAGGCAGAAGCAGCTGGGAAACTGTAACCTCCTTGCTTTAGTCTCTGGACAAGGCTCAGCCCCCCAGGCCTGCTCCCCCAGGCGATGCTCTCTGAGAACCTCTATCTCTGAAGTATATAGAAACATATTCATGACTCACACTAATGAATGAAGCCCTGTTAACTCCTGATGGTCAAAGACTGCTTATTCAGAGAAACTAAGACTCAGGGAAAGGGAATCAAGATCCTAAACTCTGCTTTTTAGTCCTTGACCTGAACCTCTAATAAGTGTGTCACCACAGGAGCTCCTCCTGGCTTTCTTGGTATAGCTGGAAATATCAAGTCCCTGGATAACAGCACAACACACTCATTTTTC